CGCAGAATCGTCGCTCTGCTGCGACGCATTCAGACCATTGTGGATCCCGCGTTTCAACCTGGCCAACTGCTACATTGCTACACGGCTACAATCCTTCTTAGAGAGTCATAATGGAGCTTGCAGTGCCTGTAGGCAGACACCTTGTGTGCTAACACCGGCGGCAGTTTCTAAAACCTTGCCATTTCATGTGACGGGCCGCTGAGCTTCCCAGACACCTTTCTCACCATGTCTCATGAAGGTTTGTGCCATTTCGCACGATGCATTTTTGTCATCTTAGTAGACGACCCCCATCGCTTTTCGCAAGTCAAGTTGAGCAAGAAGTTTTATCTTTATGCCGTTTTGTTGCTGCTTTGTCATCGGACCTCAACTTGAGCCCTGGCCTTCTGACTGTACTGCCACCCTTCGATGAAGTATCGCGCAAACCCTTGTCTTTCTTGTTATCTACTTTGGCGCCCATTTTGCGCGATCACTGCCTCGTTGGTGTGTGCTCGCGACGTTCTTTGGCACCCGCACAAGTCGGGGGCGCTAACGCGCGCGGTGTTGGGGGAAACCCCTGCCCCGCAGCCCTGGCGAAAACCAAGAAGGAAAAAGCAAAGGTTATTCGGTATGGTTTAGGAGGGGTGTTCTTTGGGGGTACAGGTGATGGCAGTCAGGGGAACATGGCGTGTTCCCCGGAAAAGCCACTCAGACATTCAGACGCGCGCCGTGAGGGGTAGGCCTTCGGGCCAGGGTTCCTATACCCCAAGCAAGCAAGCGAGCAAGCAAGCAAGCAAGCAAGAGAAGGACACCGCACAACCTCACGCGCATGAAGTCGTCTGCACATGCACATGATTGCTCAAAAACGGTTGCGAAGTTGCTATCGACAGCCCTCACCTCGAAACGCCGAGCAGGTCCAGGTGGCGAAAGGTCCGTCAGCGGCATCTGTGGAGCCTCCTTCCGGCTCCACTCCAGAGGCGGAGCCCCCGCTGCCACCTCCAGCGGAGAAGCCTGTGCAGAACGAGGTGCGAAGGGGTTCGATCTTGGGCGGCTTGCATCTGAATGTAATGGCAATGGGGGGGATGTATATCATGACCAGTTACAATGCCGCCGGTGTGTGTCTTCATTGGCACAGAGAGAGAGACTGAGAGCGCGCTGGAGCGAAAGAGAGAGAGAGAGAGAGAGAAGGAGAAGAAGAAGAAGAAGAAGAATAAGAAGAATAATAAGAAAAAGAAGAAGAAGAGGGAGACGAAGAAGAAGAAAAAGAAGAAGAAAAATAAGAAGAATAAGAAGAAGAAGAAGAAGACGAAGACGAAGACGAAGACGAAGAAGAAGAAGAAGAGGAAGAGGGAGAGAGAGAGAGAGAGAGAGGGAGAGAGAGAGCGAGAGTCAGAGAGAAAGAGAGAGAGAGAGAGAGACCGAGTATGGCCCGTACGCGAATACAGTACCCCAAACTTCCCACGTCCCATCAAAGCCCCATAACATATGGGGGGCCACCAGGCCGGGGGACCTCAACAGTCCCCCATGCCCAATGAAAGAAAGAGAGAAAGAGACAGAGAGAGAGAGAGAGAGAGAGCGAGGGAGGGGGGCAGAGATATGGAGCACGAGAAAACAGATGGAATCCCAAGCTGTAGAGTGCGCCCGTGGCTCCATGTGTCTCGGTTCTATGTCCCTTTGCTCCCACCCAGGCTCCTGGAGAGCAGATAGTCTTCGGCGTTTTGTCTGGGGAATCTGGGTTCAGGGGAATTCCGCGAAGTCATTGCCCAAACGTGCAGAAAGTTCAGGGCATTCGAAGATAATCTTGATGTAAGTCTATCCGACACCTGCCGGCGGTGCGCAAGGCCAGTCGTTGAATTGGTTTAAGGGTAGCAGCAGTAGAAACATGCGAACTGTCCCAAGCACCAAGCTGCTAAAGCACCGCTTTGTTCGGGGAGGCGGACCCCAGCTCTGCGTCGGTCGCACGCGCGACCTACACTCTCTTGCTGGAGCTCAGGGCGCATTCTTCAAAACTTTAGGTTTTGTCTGTCATGAGTCATGATGACATTTTTCGTGGAACAGGTTGAAGCTGTGTGGGGCTTGCGGGCTACGGGTACTTCGTCATTCGGGGCTCCGCCTTTGTTTTCTGTTGGGTTTCTGGAATCAGACAATCCAAACCCACGCCTAATACAGGTTTTTGGACAGTGTGCAATGCCAGGCTCCTTTGAGCTTGTCGGGTGACGGTCTCGGAAATTTGGAGCCAAGCCCATCCTTCCACCTTCTCTTCGGGAGATTGGGAGGATTGGGGGTCGAGATTTGGTCCCCACACTGGCTCAAGATTTGGTTCATCTTTTAGCATCATGCCTTCATTCTTTTCCGGGCCCGTGGGTTTCGGTCACATTTCTTTGCTTTGGATGTAGAGCGATGTAGAGCTTAAGGACTTGGGTTTGCAACTTACACAGGGCGAGCGATTTCAGCTTTGAGGGTCTAGGGCCTAGGGTTCCTCTGACATCCTAGAGCTCCATGGCTTTAGGCCGCAGGCTCTTAGCTCCAAAGCTTTGAGACAGCCAAAGTCTAAGTCCCTAAACCCGGCGAACCCTTTCCGTACTTCACCGCCAGATTCTTGATGCCCAAAGGAGAGAATGGCGGCTGAGAGGCAGGCAGCTGAGCGGATGATGTCGCAAGCAAAGGCCCGAGCCTCGGGATTGTTTGGGAGTCCCGCGAAAGCGGCAGTTTCTTGACTAAAGCCTACACAAAGAAGGACCCCAGGCCCAGGACCCCCCAGGCTTTCCGAGACTGCTCCGTGCTTTGTCGGAGGCTGCAGTCGGCAGGGCCACTGCCAGGCTCTCCGGCCGAACGCCACACCCGCCAGGGCCGCCAGGGCCGCCAGGCTTGGCACGGGAGCTTTTCGGGAGGCTCAGGGTTTAGGGGTTTCAGGCTAGGAAGGCGATCCGACAAAGAGGTGATGGTCATCGATGGTGGTGATGATGAGGACACTGATGATGATGATGATGATGATGATGGTGATGATGGTGCTGATGATGATGATGATGATGATGATGATGATGTCGTCGATCCGATGTTGAAGGTCGTTGTCACCTTTCTCACTTTTCCTCAGGCCTTTTTGTCTCAATGCCTTACCACAGTGCTTGCAAGCAGATTTCTTCAGAGCATTCAATTTGAGTTGGGTACAAACGAATCAGGAGAGCTGCGCTGTGTATTTTTTGTCTACACAAATTTCGGCAGCGATGCTCATCTTGGCCATCAGTGTGAACCTAGTCATGGCCTCCTTCGTCACGTGGAGAAGCGCGGAGTTCCATGCCGCTTCGAGAGCTTTCAAGTCAGCCATGGTCTTGAGACATGGATCTGAAACGGGGTGAGGCAAGTTTGCTTCATGCCAGCATTCGAACCCACGAGGTCGAGATGATTCGAGACCCAAGGTGACCCTGTGCAACGGTGCAACTTCCTGTCATGCTCGACCGCCGTCCTCAGTGCAGTGCGGCAGTGCTGGCAGGTGCCTCTGCCGAGCCAGCTTCAGCTGCGAAGCATGGATGCAGCAGCATTCATTCCTATTCCGGGTTGGGAGGTTTGTTTCTGTCACAACCCAGGTGCTGTTTAAGAGGGGAGTCGGGGCCCAGGTTTTGGATTTGGAGCACTTGGAACGGCATGAGAATCCGAAGATGTTGAGCATGAGCCCGCGCCCAGGAGGCCGGATGCCACGGAGATTGAAGCCCAGGTTGGTGTTTGCTGAGCGGTTTGAGTTCAAAAGGAGTCTACAAGGCGTAGCTTGGCATTGGCATCTGTTGTGTTCCTCGGAGACTTGGGCAGGTGGATGCCTTGGAACCTTTCAGTCTACGGTTCTGCAACTCCGAAAATTGCTGTTTGAAGCCTTCCCGCTATCCTTCGAGCAGTTCGGAGGGTTGCATTGGTCTCAACGCACACAGGTCCCGTGGCTGAGGCTTTGGGAAAAGGGTAGTAAAAGCATCCAGGCAGGGGCTCTGACACCTTTGTGCCGGGTTGCTGTCTCTGATGTTTCTGGGCTGGCTGGCCTGTGGATTGCAGTGCCGAAACTCCAGATCTCCCAGAAGGTCCAAAGCCTTGTCCTAAGCCCTGAACTCTGAGATGCGGCTTGTACCGACAGGCGTCTCGAGCGCAATCCGCCGACAAAGCTCCCGCCAGCAAGGCAGCAAAAGGGACTCCGTGTTTCCTGACGTTTCATGCCAGCTCCAGGTTGAGCGATACGCTACCCCAGCTCAGGCCCAAAGCTCAACTACGGCCAGTCAGTTCAATCATGCTGAAGAGAACGCGGCCGCAGCAACGGCAGCTGCAGAGAAGGCAGCGGCACACAAGGTCACAGAAGAGGCAGCCGAGAAGGCAGCGGCTGAGAAGGCAGCGGCTGAGAAGGCAGCTGCGGCAAAGGCGGCCGCGCAGAAGGCGGCCACAGAGAAGGCAGCAGCTGAGAAGGCTGCAGCAGCCAAGGCTGCTGCGCAGAAGGCTGCAGCTGAGAAAGCAAAGAAGGCCGCTGCGGAGAAGGCTGCTGCACAAAAGGCGGCTGCAGAGAAGGCTGCTGCAGAGAAGGCTGCTGCAGAGAAGGCTCAGAAGGCAGCTGCAGAAAAGGCAGCCGCGGAAAAAGCGGCCGTGGACAAAGCGGCTACTGAAAAGGTTGCTGCAGACAAAGCGGCAGCTGCAAAAGCTTTGGCTGAGAAGGCCGAAGCGGAGAAGGCGCTAGCAGAAATGAAGGCGGGTATGCACCCGTATAACGCTGTCTGGACCCATCTTGGTGCCTTGAGTCTTCTCCTGAAAGTCAAACTTGTGCAAAAGAGGAATTTTAGCTGGATATCGATATCCATCCTTGCTCTGTGTGATCTGCGCAGCCATAGTCCGGGGCTCGATTTCTCCAATCCTTGCCATGTCAGGCTGAATTTGTCTCAAGCTCTTTGGAGCCATCTGCTCTGCATTGCGAATTACCCAGCATCAGCATTCTCACTCCTCGGTTTCTGTGCAGAGCTTGCGTGAAGTCCTATTCTGCATTCTTCTACCAGCACAAGGCCGCGAAGGAGGAAGCTGAGAGGGCAGTGAGGGAGATGAAGGCACCAAGGGGTTCCAAATGCTATCAAGTTCCAAGCATTCCCGCGGCTACTTGTGCTAATACTTTATTGAAGATCTGAGAGGTGATCATGCTACGGTGAGGACCACGAGGACGAGGGGATGAGGAGGCTCAGGAGGATGATGAGAAGGAGGCGAAGGACCGAGGACGACGACAATGACAGCCACTACGACGTAGAAGGCGACGACGACCACCACGACGACGACAACGACCATACTACGAGGAGGAGGAGGAGGAGGAGGAGCAGGAGGAGGACGACGACGACACTGCGACCATGACGACGAAGGCGACAGCATCAATCACGACTGGGATTAGCACTGTTGCCTTCCCCTTGCTCCCAGTCCTGGTCCTAGTCTGCTACTGCGACTGCTACTGCTACACTGCTGCTGCTACGGGCTACTGCTACAGCTAGGGCTACTGCTGCAGCTGCTGCTGCTGCGACTGCTGCTGTGAATGCAACGGCCACGACGGCTGCGACTGCGACTGCGACTGCGACTGCGACTGCGACTGCGACTGCGACTACGACTACGGCGACGACGACGCCGACGACGACCACGAAC